CCCAAAACCCCAAAACCCCAAAACCCCAAAACCCCAAAACCCCACATTATGGGGTTTGACTTGAAATATAAAGAATAAAATTATTATTTCTAATGGAACCACTCTTAGATCCATGCAATGATCGGCAAGTAACCTCGGTTGAGCCTCCGCCTTCACTTCCGCTCTCTGATGAAGTTATGTGGGCTGAGATGGACCTTCCTAATTGGGAAGTAATCCGAGATCATTTGAAAAAGGAAGGCAAGCTCCTTAAGGAGCAGGTCATGAGACTGTGTGAGGCAGTTCTTGAAATCACTAAGAAGGAACCCACCCTTGTACATATAGAAGAACCTATCTGAATTGTTGGTGATATTCATGGCCAGTACTATGATCTGTGTCACATGATCGAAAAAGCAGGGAAACCAAAGAAAATCAATTATTTGTTTCTGGGCGATTATGTAGATCGAGGAATATTTTCAATGGAAGTGGTCATCCTCTTACTTGCTTTAAAAATTAATTATCCAGAAAAAGTTATCCTTTTGAGGGGAAACCATGAATGAAGAAATATGACTCAGCACTTTACTTTCAGAGAGGAAGCAATCAGAAAATTTGATGAGGAGGTTTACCAAGCTGTTATGGAAGTATTTGACGCCATGCCTCTAGCAGCACTTGTAAATAAATAAATATTTGGCCCTTCATGGAGGAATTTCACCTGACTTGAAGAACCTTGATAATTTTGAGAAAATTAATAGGTTCTCTGAGCCGCCTACAGAAGGCCTCTTTTGAGATGTCCTATGGTCAGATCCTCTTGACGAAACAGAAGCTTTAGAATGTGATTACAAAGATAATGAGGAAAGAGAATGATCTTATATGTTTGGCAGAAAGCCAGTTAAATAAACTCCTTGAAAAACATGACCTCATGTCTGTTGTAAGAGCTCACCAGGTTCAGATTGATGGTTACAAGATGCATCGTTGGGATGGAGAATCCAGCTTTCCTTATGTTGTGACGATATTTTCTGCACCAAATTATTGCGATTATTATTCAAATAAGGCAGCAGTATTAATTTTGAAAGATGAGAAGATAAGTATCAAGCAGTATGATCAGTCTGAGCACCCATATTTCCTTCCAGATCAGATTGATGTGTTCACTTGGTCACTACCATTCCTTGCAGATAAGGTTATCACAATGCTGCAGTCATTACTGGCGAATGCATCTCCTGATGAGGATATGGTAGATGAAGACCTTGAATCCGAAGCCGTTAATAAGGTTTTGGAGACAGCAGAAAAATCTAAGAAGGCAGGAGTAAGTTCAAATCTTTGATTTTAATAGATCATGAAAATGAAAGTGAAATCTGTAGCAAGAATGCATAAGATATTCAGAACTTTAAAGGAAGAAAACGAACTGCTCCTAAAAATTAAAGGAATGGCTCCTGATGGTAAGATACCTCATGGTCTCTTGCTTGGAGGAAGACCTGCGATTAGAGACACATTCAGAGAGTATGCCCAAGCTAAAAAACTAGACTTTGTCAATGAGAAGTATCCTAAGTAATCCTTCCAAATGTTTAATGGCTAAATACATTGAACTTTGATAGAATATGCGATAATAGGCTCAATCCTGGTGTCCGGTATCGGGGTTTTGGGGTTTTGGGGTTTTGGGGTTTTGGGGTTTTGGGG